CATAAGACAATCTCACATTGCTCACTAGCTTGCTTGGAAAGGGTAAGGAAAAATGTTTCAGGTATAAGGGTAGACATATCTGGTGATAAGAAATAAAAGGCTCAACATACACGGCTCAAATTGGCAATCTAATGATATCATTTTTTCTTTGGGAAACATGGTTATTTGGGTCATAGTGGTAAACCTAATGCCTCTATCATTTCCAAATTCATGCAATTAATGACAAACATTTTGAAAGATCGTTACGCAAGTTCTAGAGATGTATCTCACATAAGTTCATCACACATGAAAGAATAGGAGTGTATGAAAAATGCACACACTTTCAATCGGCTCAAAAACTCACATAGGATGTATATGGTCACTAAATTCACATATGAAGCTTTAAGTCATACTTTAGTTTCACATTAACAAGGCTATGTGCATTTGGTTTTTCAAAGATGATCAAACATGTACAAAACTAACAAGAATTAGGAATTTCACAAAACACATGTTAACTAAGTTCTTGATGATCATGGTTCAAATTTGATCCAATTATATCATTGGGTCGGGAAACTAACAAAAATCTAATTCAAAACAATAAGGGAAACAAGACCATATTTTTGGATTTTTAAATTTTCCGATTTTTCTTTGAAGGTTTTTTTATTTTTTTTAAAGAAAACAACACTAATTAAGAAAACAAAAAGCAACAACACAGAAACAAATGAAATTCTAGAGATAACTACCCCCCACACTTAAACTGGACATTGTCCCCAATGTCAGAAAACACTATAATGCAAATAAAAATGAAATAAATAAATAATAAGAAACAAAATAAAGCAATTGGAGTGAAAACTTCCCTAGTTTGCAGTAAAATCAAGCGATGACCCCCCAAGCTAAAATTCTGCAATCAACTTCAAGGGTGGAAATAACCAAAAATTCCTGCAAAGAAAATAAATCATTCAGTTAAGTAACGCAAGAAAATGTAAAAAAAATTGCAAACGAAAAATTGAAAATCACGATAAAAGACAATGAATAGAACTAATAAGTGATCATTGGTCGTGCTTGTTGACTTTCCACAGCTTTCCTCTTGAACTGGGTGACACTTAGCTTTTTACTTGCAAGTGATGATTTGATGATATTGTACGGCGAGGCTTTGCTCTTTGGGAATGTTGCAGTTCCTTATTTGTTCTCCAAGCAGATGTGGCAGCTTCTCTAGTTCTTCATCTCAGACTCCTTATGCTGAGTTGATTGTGCAAGCTGCATTCTTCTCTGCTTGTTTCTTCTGCACGACGGGCGGGCACGAGGTAAAGGTGTTGGTCGGTTTCTTTCTTTAATCTTTCCAAGTGCCCACCTCTTGCTCTCTTTCTCATTGTCCTTAGTTGAGGATGAATCAGCACGTTGTCTCCACATGCTTCGAGGTATCATCTTCACTTCCCTTATACGTGAGAGACGAAACGAAAGCATAAGATGATGAGTACTCGAGAGCAGGTGCTGACTGGAGAAAGGACAGGGAGAAAGCATGATATGAGATACTCGTGCTCTCAACCTTTATGATATGAAATACTTGTGCTCTGGATGGGTTGTTTGCAGGGGTATCCCAGGGGATGAAAAATACAGAGTGACTTGAGAGGGTTTGTTGGAAAGCCATTTCAGAGAGGAAGAAGTGCTGAGAGGGTGTGCCTTTGCTGTGGGAAGGCGAAGGTAGATACTTATGAGACTTTTCTTCACAACCGGAACTATTCTCTCACTCATTGTCGGCAGCCGGTGGATGGATGAATGGTACAAATTACGCGCTTTCTGACAAAGCTGTCCGTAATTTTCGCAAAGCTGCTAGTTGCATGTGACGAGTGACAACACGTCTGGACAAATTGATCTTTTGAAATCCGGGGTTCGGCTCGTGGTTTCTGAGCAAGCCCAGCCTTTAAGAAATGAAACGCCTCTTTTGAGAAAAGAATCCTGCTTTTGAGAAAGGAGCCCCGACTCTTCGATTTGCGAGAGGACGCTTCTTCGATTTCTGAGGAGCGCCTCTTTGATTTCTTCTTTTTATAGAGGTGTTAATTTTGTTCCACAACACACTTGAGCTCTCTCCTGTAAACACTCCCTTCTTGCACTTCCAAAATCTTAATCTGTCCGATCTCTTCTTTCTTTACCATTCTGAAAAATGTCTGGCCCTTCCGATCGTCGTTTTGACTTGAACATTGGTGAAGAGGCAGCTATGCCTTCACCAGACAACATATGGCGCCCATCCTTCATATCCCCTACCGGTCCCCTTACCGTGGGGGATTCGGTGATGAAAAATGAAATGACAGCTGCGGTGGTGGCCCGGAACCTTGTCACCCCCAGAGATAACAGACTGCTCGCTAGACGGTCTGATGAATTGGCGGTTAAGGAGTCTCTGGCTCTTAGCGTGCAGTGTGCGGGTTCTGTGTCCAACATGGCCCAACGCCTATTTGCTCGAACCTGTCACGTCGAATCGTTGGTGGCTGAAATACAGAGTCTCAAAGAGGAGGTTAGAGGACTCAAGCATGAAAATAAACAATTGCACAAGCTTGCACACAATTATGCCACAAACATGAAGAGGAAAATTGACCAACTGCAGGAAAATGATGGTCAGATTTTACTTGATCACCGAAGGTTTGTGGGTTTGTTCCAACCGCATCTGCCTTCGTCTTCTGGGGCGGCACCGCGTAGTGAAGCTCCAACTGATCAACCTCCGATACCTCCTCCTTCCGTGGCCCCGCCGACTACTGAAGCACCACCTGACCAATGAATGCTATTAGTTTACACATCATTGTAAAATATTTTTACTTTTATGTTTTTTTTTTATTTTATTTTTTATTTTATTTTATTTATTTATTTATTTTTTAGGTGTGTTTTTTTTTTTTTTTTTTTTAAATCAATGTAAAATATGTAAATCAATGTAAAAAGACTTTGTTTAACCTTCCCCCACACTTAAACTAAATAACACAAACTCACATAAATCAACCAAATAACACAACTAACTGAACAAAACAAAATGAAAGCAGTAAAGATAAGGGTGTAAGTTGAATGCTTGGGTTGCCTCCCAAGAAGCGCTTGCTTTAACGTCCGCAGTCGGACGAATCTTTCCTTTAAACTCCCTTCGGCTCCAAAGCATGGAATTTATCTTTTAATGGGAGGTAATACTTGAAATGATTCGGCAATGGTTTAAATTCAAGAGTGGGTGCCTGAATCATCAAAATCAGAAACATGTTAGTATAAATTAAAATTAAAATTGGAGAAGATGGCTTACTTTCTTTTTCCGACACAAACTCAATGACAAACACCACATCTTTGAACATTTCCGAGACTTTGAACTTGGCCAGGTTTACTATGATGGTTGTGGCTTGTCCCGTGTTATCAAACTCAACTACTTTGGGCTTGATTGTCTCATGCACAGCCTCTTGGATGTATTCTTGATATGCTTCAACCACTTCATTTTCTTGAATCTCTTTTCTTGGTGTGCAAGGTTCTTTGAACGTTTCAATACCATTGGGAACTTGTTTTGGTGCACCAAGAATTGGGATATCACTTTGCACCTTTGGAAGAGCTTCCACAATGTCTTTTTCACTCTCTTTGATATTTGGAATCAAAACCTACAAGGAAAAAGGACATTTGGTGAAATAATGTTAGAATGAAGTGGATTTAGAACTTCCTCACCTGAGTTGGATGACATAGGGATTTGAGGAGCTTGCAGCAAGAATTCTTCTAAACTGCCCAGGTCGTCCTCCTCCTCTTCTGCTTGCAGCAGCAATTCATCCATGTTCGGGCTGTGTTTGGATAGTTCTGGGATAGCTTCATCCTTCATGTCACCTTCCAAAGTGATAGCATCGTGGATTTCAAAATCTTCCTTCGAATTTTCAACAGTTGAGCTGGAGAGTTCACTTTGCTCTTGAATTTGTACCATGAATTCCATAATCTCTCCCATTTGACTCATCAATTTATCCAACTTCTTGTCTTGATTTTGTTGGTCCTGCGTCAAAGAGGTTAGTACTTGAAGAATTTGATCACTATCCATGGACATACTTGAATTTGATTGGAATTGTTGTGGGGTATGCGGTGGTGGCTGCATAGGCGTTAAATAAAACTCCTCAGATTGCTGCCAATATCCATCTTGTTGAGCCTCCTTGGCTTGATTTTGTGAGCCCTGCACCAAAGAATTTAATTCATCAAAAATTTGATTGTAATCTATTGACGAATCTGAGTTTGATTGGGCATATTGCACGATTTAGCTATTTTAAACTATTATGCTGTAGTGTCACTTGCATGCATGCACGGTAGCAGTTTGCGTACCTTATGCTGACGTAGTAGTCTTTACTTGCAGAGAAGGGATCCAAGCTTGAAGTTTGACGAGGACTCCCACAAAGTAAAGGTACAAAATCTTGCAGATGTCTTGAACTGCATGAATCCTCTCAATACGATGCCTTGCATGCTTAGTTGTTGCTTTTGCTGCAGAATACAAGACTTTCTCCAAAAGCGGTATTACTAAACTGTAAGTTGTGAGTGTCAAAGAACATGTGCTCACTGTTTCTTGACATACAGTAACTTGGTCAATCCGTGTTAATAGTTGAGAAAATTATGGAGCCTTATTTGGTTAGGTTAGGAGTCCTTATTTAGTGCAATTAATTATGAAAACCTTATTTAGTTGACAAAGAATTTGTTACCATTTAGGACTATAATGAAATCCTAATTGATTTGGAATATCCCTTTAATCAGTTAATAGGCCGGATTAAAGGGATGAGTGTCTATATATTAGGAGGTCCCTGCACTCACAACATTATCCTATTCTAGTGCAAAACCCTATTTCTGTGCACAAGGACTCTCGGCTGCTAGAGTGTAGAAGTTCCTCCTTGAAACCCTAGCAGTCATGGCTTCTTCTTCCTCCGCTTTGGAAGATAAGTTTATTTCCCTTTAATTGTTTGATTGGTTTATTGTAGTTATATTTGTTATATCTGTGATCCTAGTAACTTGTTGATTTTCAGATTACATCTTACATAAACAAGATGAAGGTACGTATGTCCTTCTCTATATGTGATTCAGTGCGTTTTTTGCTATGTTAATTATGCTTGAATTCGTGTTAACTACAATTACTTGACTTCATAGTGGAGGTAAAGTTTTCTTAATGAGGGTGTGTATGGTGATTAATGTTCAAAATTTTGGTAGAGATGGTTTAGCAAAAACAGATAACTGTGGATCATGATCCGCAAGGAGAGAAAGATGCTGTTGAAAGCAGAGGTGGTTTTATGTTAAAAAGGCCAGGTACTTGGTGCACAAGTTTTTACACTTCAAACAATTGGTATGGTCCTATATTTGAGTTGAAATTTTCTGTACAGGACCTCCTGGCGATAATTGTTAATGATATGTTTCAACATTTAATAGCCGACCCCACTTAGTGGGAAAAGACTTTGTTGTTGTTGTTGTTTTATATGTTTCAACATTTGCGTATATTTCGTCTGATGTATTACCAGTTGGCTAGTCTTCTAACATTCATAATGATTTTAGGAAATATTCCACGTGCTGATGGCCAATTAGATATGACAAGGGCATTTGGGGATCGAAAACTAAAGGAGCACATAACTTCAGAACCAGATATAACAGTAAAGAAGGTTGACGCTGAAACAGATTTCATCATTTTGGCAAGTGATGGATTGTGGAAAGTAAGCTTAGCATTTTCTTTAATTTCTTAAAGGTTTTAACATTTCGATAAGATAATGTATTTACTTGTACTCGTCCTTCCAAATGCTTGAAACCTTTTGTTGTGTTTATGCAGGTGATGTCAAACCAAGAGGCTTACGATTGCATTGAAGAGTTGGATGATGCTCAAGAAGCAGCTGAGGAGTTGATTAAAGAAGCCTTATCTAGGAAAAGCTGAGACGATATCTCCTGCATGGTTGTTGTCTTTCACTAAATATGTCATACTTTCAGTTGTACTGAGTTTGACATTGTCAATGTTTCCTTGTATGATGTGCAAGTATTTGAATTTTTAAACTAGGTCTGTTAGGAAGAGTAATTTCTAATTTTCTCCAGATTAGCAATGGAAGTTTTGCACCAAGTGTCGAAATTTTTTTAGGCCTTCTCCCTTGTGGTTAATTGGCGTAGTAAGCGGATATTCACATTCTAACAATGATATCATTAGACTGTCTACGTGTTAAGCCCAATGATTACACTTGGGTTGGGAAGCCCAATAGCCAACATAAATTGAATGCACGTTTGTCTATCACCTAATAAGTTGATACTTAAGGTCAAGATTTTTCAGTTTTATGATACTAACATATGTGGCTTGACATACCAGATGATTCTTAAAAGAAAATGCTAGCCACTAATCCTTCACTTTAGGAAATCTTACAAGACTTATGTTGCTCGGTACTGTTTGGTAAGAAAATATTAACTTTTCTAATGACTAACTATTCACATGCTGGTTGATCCATATAAGCTTACTGAGTGGGATTTTTTGTTTATGTTTTTTTTACTTGATATCTGCATATGAAAAAGCACTTGATTTCTTCATAGAAAGAGGACACAAAAGAGTTTTTTTGAGGTCCTTATACTCATTCATTATGCCTGGCATTGAATAGACAGGGAATTCACCTGAACCTGAAGAAACATTTGTTTCAAACCTCTGTGATTTCAAACAAAGAAGGAAGAGGAGGGATGCTTTGTTCATTCCTGAAGAAGTTATCTGGATCGGCCTTGCTCTTCACCTGTGCCAGCCTCTTGAAGTTACCCTTGAAGTACCTTGTGCCCCAAGTACTTGCCTCCAAGTAGCTTGTGTTTTGCACGTTGGCACCCAAATCAAGGTCCTTGTAATTGATATAGGCACCCCTTGGGGACCTAGAAACATAAGGGCTCATGAATCTGTAAAGCATTCTTATCCAGTGGATATGCTTGTTGGTTTCCTCCACTCCACTTCCATCCCACTTCACTATGTACTGTATGTTGAACAAATTACCTTTTCTGTGAGGAAATGGGATTTCATGTTCTGAGATCTCATTCATTTTGCCACCATATGGATCCAAAATCATGTACACATTTTGTTCCTGCTGAAACCTCTCCCAAATCCCTTGGAGTCCCGATTCGGGTATTGGGTTCTTCACGAAGTCGGATTTAGCCTTGAAATTCATCTTCCAGAGGGGATTTCTAGATAGCAATACATCTGAGGGCTGGTCTTTTTGGAATCCAGCAAAATACTGGGCAGATTGGATCCAACTCATCTCAATGCAGTCTTTTGCCTGCAATCCCAGCTCTGGAAAACTCAGCTTAATCAGTGGGATTAATCTGTCAATTTTACCAAGAAACAGTGATTGGAAAGATGCTTGAACCGTTTTCTGATTCCCACTCCCCACTTTCTGAATTATGACTCTGATGAAAAGATCTTCATGAAATTTGTCTGCAATATATTGCCACCTGTGAACAAGGCTGGTAGCTCCTTCGGCTAGGGTTTTGTCAAATGTAAAACCCGTCACAATTTTTGGAACCTGAACCAATTTGATTTTCCATGAAACTATGATCCCAAAACTTGATCCCCCACCTCCTCTAATGGCCCAAAACAAATCCTCACCCATTGTTCTTCTGTCAAGGATTCTTCCATTCACATCAATTAACCGAGCATCTATGACATTGTCAGCTGCTAGGCCATGCTTCCTGATTTGGGTTCCAAACCCACCTCCACTGAAGTGCCCTCCAATCCCAACAGTAGGGCACAAACCTCCTGGAAATCCATGGACCTCACTTTTCATGGCAATGCTATAATAAAGCTCACCAAGTGTGGCTCCTGACTGCACCCAAGCTGTTTCATCTGCAAGGTTGACCTTGAGGGAACGGAGATTGATGAGGTCAATGATGATAAATGCGGTTTTGCAGAGGTAAGATAGGCCTTCATAGTCATGTCCTCCACTTCTAACCCTGACTTGCAGGCCAAGTTTCCTGCTGCAAAGAACAGCGGCTTGGATTTCAGACTCATGGGAAGGTGTGACAAGGAGAAGAGGCTTCGATGTGGAGTTTAACCACCTAGGGTTTTGCTGGGAAGATTGCAAAAGAGATGAATACAAAGAAGAGTTTGAGGTGTGAATGTTTTGATCAGAAATTTTGCTGTAGTCTGCCATGCACTGACTGAAAATTTCACCACTGATTGAAACAGAAGATACCGAAGGAATTGAGACCAAGAGCAAAGAAGCTAGTAGTGCAATGAACTCCATCTGTTTCAGGAATTTAGGCATTTAGATTTTGATGAGCGTGTGGTTTGGCTATATATATATATATATATATATATATATATATATTTTTTTTTTTTTTTTTTGAGTGGTATATTTTCTTGGTGAGGGTGGAATATTTAACCTAACTAGCTATTCGATATGCTGAATTCGGCTTGTTTTTACTTCTGCTCATCCGCTGCGTATATAGGAACACAACCAAAGAAAGCGATGATTCCGATGGAGTGAATTGAGAATATCTATCATCTACCACATTAAAACCAAAGTTATCCCTAGCCTATAATTTAGTCGGCACTCGGCATTTGAAGTTACTCTTGCCATTTTCTTGTGGAAATTGTAATCAATAATGTGTTGAGACGCAAGTTACCTAATTTTATTTTATAAAATATTTAACTATTTCAATGTCAAATTATGATTTGATGATAAGTAAAAAAAATAAGCATATAAAAGCTAATGACTGTTTTAATTTTTTGTCACTTTTCATAGTTAAGCACTAGTTGAAAGAGCCAACTGAATTCATTCTTAGCAATGAAGTATAGTAGCCAATTCCACTTGGTGCAAATTGGCAAAATATATGGGCTAATGCATGTGGGACTTCCATATGCTTTGAGTTCTGCATGGTTGCAAGACAACTAATTACAAAGCTCCATCTAGAACGAAATCTTCATCATATATAGTTTAATGCACCGGCTAGCTCTCATTCTCTCTTCGAGGGTGAAAATGCCTGACTCGATCCCTCTGTTCTAGGCTTCTAGGATCAACATGTGTTGAAAGGGTCATATATGCTGACATTTTCAAACGTGATGCGCCAGCATACAAGGGGTTGATAGTTGTCCACATTACTGATCCACTATTTTATATGTTTCTCATTGTTCTTCTATGTCGTACACATTTATTTAAGTGCCATGTAGGTTTTTGTTGTGATAATTTTAATTGTCTTAAATATAAGCGAGTTTCGGTAAAAAGTTATTCTCATCATCAAGTCAATTAGTCTTTTTATTTAGCGTCATTAGAGTTTTGACTGGAAAAGATTTTTAACCACATTGAATATCATGACCTAAAACTGAATCATGATTATAAGGATTGTTATCCCATTCATTAATCTTGCGGAATCGTTCCTTGTTCAAATATGTTGGTCTAATCTTCTCATTAGGCCTTGCTAGATCTGACAACTGGATTGGGCTTTGCTAAGCCCTCTCTGCCCAATGCTGAGTTAAGTGACTTGAGAGCCATATCAGGCGTGCCAATCAAACTCACCCCCTATCCCATTAAAAAAAAATACAGCAAAAAGGATGGAGGGTGGGTCTTATTAAAATTTGTCAATTTAATTCTAAAATCAAACAACTCTTAAGTTGGCACAAAATTTTGCTCACTCTTGAAGAAGTTTTCATAATCAACCTTACCTTTTATCTTGGCTAATCGCTCAAAATTTCCTTTGAAATACTTTTCACCCCAAACCTTTGCTTCCTCCAAAGTTCCTTTGATATTTCTTCCAATGTCCAAGTCCCTGTAGTTAGTATATGCAGTCCTAGGGTTTTTGGTCACAAATGGAGCCATGAAGTTGTAAACCCTATTGATCCCTTCCAAATGCTTCTTCTCAGCCAAAGCTCCCCCCTCAAACCACTTCGTGAAGTACTGAATGTTGTACAAGACTCCAGCTCTATGTGGAAATGGAGTAAAATCTTCTGAAATCTCAGCCATTTTTCCACCATAAGGATCCCAAATCATTATACCAGGAGCCTCACCGTCTTGCATCACCTTCCATATGGCTTCTAAGTGCTTTTCTGAGATGGGTTTTGTCACAAAATCACTTTTGGCTTTGAAAAAGCCCTTTTGCACATGGTTTCTGTCCAACAAAAGCTCTAATGGCTGCCCTGGGTTCTCACCATTAATGTAGAAAATAGATTGAATCCAGTTTATCTCCTTGCAGTCCTCAGGCTTCAAACCCAACTCGGGAAAGCTCTTTTTCATCAATGGGACTAGTTGATCAATGGTGCCAAGAAACAAGGCATTGAAATTGGCCTGGATTGTTTTGCCATCATTGGAACCTTTTCCCACAAAAAGAATGACTCTTATGAACAGATCTTTATGAAACTTGGATGCAATGGCTTGCCACCTGTGAACCAATTTGGTTGCGTTTTGTTCTAGGGTTCTGGGGATTGTGAAAACCGTGACCTTCGGAGGAACCGGAGCCAACTTGATCTTCCATTCAAGTACAACTCCAAAGCTTGCAGCTCCACCTCCTCTAATGGCCCAAAACAAGTCCTCCCCCATCGATTGTCTGTCAACAATACCTCCATTTGCGGTGACCACGATTGCATCCACAACATTATCACTTGAAAGCCCAAATTTCCTCATCAACACGCCCTGACCTCCGCCGCTGATATGTCCACCAACACCAATAGTAGGGCAAACACCGGCTGTGAAACCAAGTTTTCCTCTGCTCTTATTGGCAACATGGTAGTAAAGCTCACCAAGTGTTGCACCGGATTGAACCCATGCAGTGCGTTCTTTGCTATTGACTTTAACCTTATTAAGCTTGAAGAGATCGATGATGATGAAGGGTACATCAGCTTTGTAAGAGAGGGCCTCATAGTCGTGACCCCCGCTTCGAATCCTGACCTGGAAGTGTTGAGAATTAAGCTGCATTCTTGCTTTAGAAGTTACCCTGCAGAAGCTAAACCTGCAGATGAAATCAAAAAGGAGCTGTGAAATGTGAAGAAATTAAGACTTTACTAAATCAGGAGTAGCCATTGAAATTCAACGGCTAGTCTTTTACTAGTTTAAGAAAGTTACAGCTGGTGTTTTTCTTTCTTTTGTCTTGTTAATTGGACTGAGCCTTCCCATCTTCTTCCAAGTGGATGGATGATATCCTCCAATAACCATTTATGGTCGGAGAGGAGTTCTAGGTTCCTAGATGTAGGATCTGATTTTAGACTGGCTGTAAAAAGATATAGTCTTTTGTAATTTGTCTTTTGAGACATATGAAAAATACATCGACTCTTGCTCTTCCCTCTCTCTCTTGAAAGAAACAAATTTCTTCAAACCCTTGCTCAAAGTTTCAATCCTTTTTTATCAACCTAATCGATATGCCTGGTACCATTTCAAACATGGTATCAGAGCTATTGGTCTGATTCCGAAGAAAGGGTGTTATACTGTGAGAGAAATCCAACTCCGAAAAAAACCAGAAAACCTTAAAGGTGGTTCTTTTATTGTGACTCTTCGTATTCTAGCTCAAGAAATGGCTGGATCGAGCACATCTGGTGGTGATTTACGAACACCACAATTTAATGGATCAAACTACGATTTTTGGGCCATTAAAATGGAAACCATTCTCATAGCCTACGATCTATGGGATGTGGTTGAAGCTGGGTTACCTGAACAACAAACTCCCAGAGAAGAAGGCTCTGAGGAAGAAGGAGAAAGCGAGACGGAAAACATTCCGGTTGAAGCTCCTGTTGTTACAAAGGAGGAGAGGATCAAGAATGCCAAGGCGTTGAGTCTCATCCAAAGTGCAATCACTGATGAGCTTTTTCCCAGAATCCGAAATGAGAAGACTGCAAAGGGTGCCTGGGAAATCTTGAGAAGAGAGTTCAGAGGAGATAAAAAGGTACGAGCAGTGAAATTACAAGCCATTAGAGCAGATTTTGAATATTTAAGGATGAATGATGTTGAATCTCTGGATGACTATTTGGCTCGGTTCTTTGAGATAGTAAACAACCTGAAATCTCTAGGAGAAGATGTAACCGAAAAAAGGATTGTTCAAAAGCTGTTGATGAGTCTAAATAGGAGATATAAGTCCATAGTGTCAATCATTGAGGAAACCAGAGATCTGGACAGTATTAGAGTTGAAGAAGTCCTAGCCTCAGTGAAAGTCTATGATAAAAGAGAAGACTTGCATGATGAAAGAGATAAATACACTGGTACAGAGAGGGCCTTCAGCAGTCTCAAGGTTGGAGGAAACGGAAGCAGTAATGGAAATTTCAAAGGCTCTCAGTATAAGACAAACTCAAAATGGACTCAATATAAAAAGGGGAAGAACTGGTCTCAGAATGGGAACTGGAGCAATACCAGTGGATCAAACTGGAACAACAACTCTGGAGGAAGTTGGAACAATAAGTTCAATCCACAGAACAAGCAAGGGAGTAATAGTCAAAGTGGTGTGAAACCACAGTGTCAAGTCTGCGAGAAATACCATTTTGGTGTGTGTAGATATAAAGGAAAAGCTAAGTGTGGAAAGTGCAATAGGTTTGGTCATATGGCAAAAGACTGTGATAACAACAGACAAGTGGCTAATTGTGCCAAGGAAGAAGATGTAACCACTGGTACAATGTTCTATGCTTGTCACTCAGCATCAATAGAACAAGATAAATCTGTGTGGTTTGTGGATAGCGCTTGCAGCAATCACATGACTTCTCAAGAGTCTCTTCTATTGAATCTTGACAGATCTGTGACTTGTAGAGTTAAAATGGGGACTGGAGATTTGGTTCAAGCAACAGGCAAGGGAACACTGGTAGTAAATACAAAGCATGGAAGAGATATACATCAATGAAGTCCTGTTGGTTCCAGGATTAGATGAAAACCTGCTGAGTGTTGGTCAAATGATGGAACACGGCTACTATGTTCTGTTTGGAGGCAACATGGCTGTGATCTTCGATGACAGCAACCTTGGGAATGTGGTAGCCAAGGTAGTAATGACAGGGAACAGATGCTTTCCATTGTCTCTTGAATCTATAAATCCAGTGGCCAGAAAAGCATCAATTGAAGAAGAGTCTTGGATCTGGCATAAAAGGCTAGGTCACTTGAACTTTGCAAGTCTGAAAAGGATGCAGAAAGAAGGGTTGGTGCTTGGTTTGCCTGAACTATCTGAAATGAAAGAAATCTGTGAGAGTTGTGTGTCTGGGAAGATGCATAGGGAACCATTTGATAAAGAGAAAGCTTGGAGAGCTAGTAATCCATTAGAACTGGTACACACAGATGTTTGTGGACCAATGCAGAATGAATCCATTGGTGGCAACAGATATTTTCATAACATTCATAGATGATTTCTCAAGAATGTGTTGGGTGTACTTTCTTAGAAACAAATCTGATGTGTTCAATGTGTTTTAAAAAATTCAAAAGTCCTTGTGGAACTACAAAGTGGTTTTAAGCTCAAGAAGCTGAGAAGTGACAGAGGAGGTGAATATACATCCCATGAATTCTCATACTTCTGTTCCAGCACTGGAATGGAGAGGCAATTGACAGTAGCATATTCTCCTCAGCAAAATGGAGTTGCTGAGAGAAGAAATAGAACCATTTGTGAAATGGCAAAATCTATGATGGCTGAGAAGAACATTCCTGTGATTTTCTGGGCTGAAGCAGTTGGAACTTCAGTATATCTGCAAAATAGATGTCCTACAATCTCAGTAAAGGGCAAGACTCCATTTGAAGCCTTCACAGGAAGAAAGCCAGGTGTAAAACACATGAGAATGTTCGGATGTATCTGTTATAGTCACATTCCATCCAAGCTTAGACAGAAGTTTGATGACAAAGCAAGCAAATGAATTTTTATGGGGTATGGCAGTTGTGAAAAAGGTTACAGAATCTATAATCTTCAAACAGAGAAGATTATTCTCTCAAGGAGTGTAGTGTTTGATGAGAATAAGACCTGGAACTGGCAAAGCAAGCAAGATGAATCTGTCTACATACCTCTCACTATTGGAAATGAAAACACTGAGATGACAGAAACTGAAGAACATTTTCATGAACCTCATAGTATTGACTCTTCAAATCCTACTCAATTAATCTCAGATGATGAACATGTTCCTGGAAGCAACATTGCCAGTACAAGTCAAAGCTCAACACCAAGCAATACACCAGTAAAGCTGAGAAGCTTGGAGGACATTTATGCAAGATGTAACATGACCATTATTGAACCTGAAACTTATCATGAAGCCATTGAAGACAATGCATGGAAGGAAGCAATGAATTCTGAGATTGAAACCATTGAGAAGAATGGAACTTGGGAGCTGGTGGAAAGACCTGCAGACAAGCCTGTCATAGGAGTCAAATGGGTGTTCAAAACCAAACTGAATCTCGATGGATCAGTTCAAAAACACAAGGCTAGACTTGTGGCAAAAGGATATGCTCAGAAACCTGGTATTGACTACAATGAAACCTTTGCCCCAGTGGCAAGGTTGGATACAATTCGAACTTTGATTGCACTTGCAGCACAAAAGGGTTGGAAATTGTTCCAACTAGATGTTAAGTCAGCCTTCTTAAATGGAGTGCTTGAGGAGGAGGTTTACACTGAGCAACCCGAGGGTTTTGAAGTAAAAAAATGCAAGTCACAAGGTCTATAAGTTGAAGAAGGCTCTCTATGGTTTGAAGCAGGCTCCTAGAGCCTGGTACAGTGAGATTGACACTTATCTCACAAACTGCAATTTCAAAAGAAGCATAAGTGAGGCTACCTTATACACTAGAACTGATGATGAAGGAAATATGATCATAGTCTCTATATATGTTGATGATATAGTATACACTGGAGGTAGCAATACACTGCTCAGTGAGTTTAAAAGAGACATGATGCAGAAATATGAGATGACTGACTTAGGACTCTTACATCATTTCTTGGGAATGGGAGTTCTACAAACTGAAAGAGGGGTTTTTATTCATCAAAGCAAATATGCAAAGTCCTTACTTGTAAAGTTTGGTCTGGAGGATTGTAAGTCAGTGACAATACCTCTACCAACAGGTGAGAAACTGAAGAAAGTTGATGGAAGTGAGTTGACTGATGAAGGGTTGTTCAGGAAAATAGTTGGCAGTTTGCTATATTTAACTGCAACTAGGCCTGATATAATGTATGCAACCAGTTTGCTATCAAGGTTCATGCATGGTCCCACGAAGAAGCACATGGGAATAGCTAAAAGAGTTCTTAGATACATTCAAGGTACTCTCAGCTATGGCATTGAATTTACAAGGGACAAGGATGCTGTTTTGATTGGATTTTGTGACTCAGATTGGGCTGGCAGTGAAGATGACAGTAGGAGCACATCCGGGTATGCATTCAGTTTTGGTAGTGGTACATTTTCATGGGCCTCAGTCAAGCAAAACACAGTTGCATTGTCAACTGCAGAAGCTGAGTATGTCTCAGCAGCAGGAGCAACAGCTCAAGCCATCTGGCTAAGATTTGTTTTGGATGATTTTGGTGAATTGCAAGCTGATGCAACACCATTGTTTTGTGATAACATGTCTGCAATATCGATGGTAAAAAATCCTGTTTTTCATCAGAGAACCAGACACATAAACAGGAAATATCATTTTATTCGAGAAGCATTGCAGCAAGGATCCATTGATGTGAAGTACTGCAGAAGTGAAGAGCAGTTGGCAGATATATTTACAAAAGCTTTGCCTAAAGATCGATTCAATTACTTGAGGATGAAGTTAGGAGTAAAGCCAGTATGCAGCTTAGGAGAGGCTGTTGAGAATTAAGCTGCATTCTTGCTTTAGAAGTTACCCTGCAGAAGCTAAACCTGCAGATGAAATCAAAAAGGAGCTGTGAAATGTGAAGAAATTAAGACTTTACTAAATCAGGAGTAGCCATTGAAATTCAACGGCTAGTTTCTTTTACTAGTTTAAGAAAGTTACAGCTGGTGTTTTTCTTTCTTTTGTCTTGTTAATTGGACTGAGCCTTCCCATCTTCTTCCAAGTGGATGGATGATATCCTCCAATAACCATTTATGGTCGGAGAGGAGTTCTAGGTTCCTAGATGTAGGATCTGATTTTAGACTGGCTGTAAAAAGATATATTCTTTTGTAATTTGTCTTTTGAGACATATGAAAAATACATCGACTCTTGCTCTTCCCTCTCTCTCTTGAAAGAAACAAATTTCTTCAAACCCTTGCTCAAAGTTTCAATCCTTTTTTATCAACCTAATCGATATGCCTGGTACCATTTCAAACAGGAAGCGATGTATTTTGCTACAAATGATGGCAGCTTGCACGTGTTCGTATAGATAGGGTGTGATGATGTATTGAAGCTTCTGATTGGTGCTGTTGAATCTGAGGTTTTGGATGGAGGACTCAAAGACAGACGAAAATGAAGGGGAATGATGATCGAACAAAAATGTGCTTACGTTGGTTAAGGATCCTGTCGAATGGAAGCCAACGCAACTATAAAAATTCAATTCCGGGATGAGGTCATATGTTGCAGAAGAAACTGAGAAGAGAGACACTATTGCAAATGTTAGAAGGTGAGCCATGATTTGCTTCCCCTCCAATATTTTTACTTCTGTTAGCTGCTTCATTTATACTTTAATTTTTTGTCCTAAAATATGTAAAAACAAATTAACGGGAAGCAAATTAAAGAACATTAAAACAGAAATAAAAATTTTCCTTATTAATGATATCAGTTATAAAGAATTATGCTTGTGTCTGTATAGAACGTTTGAACATTTTCTTAAAATACAATCAATGGTCAGTGAGCAAGTTCTGCAAAGGAAAATTAAAACGACGTATTAACTTTTGTTTGCAACCCTTTGAATTAATGGGTAAAACTCTTTTGAGTGTATATATTTTTTTTCCAATAAGATAATAAAATTACAAAGAAAAGTCTCGGCAGCAAATCCACTAAAGCAGTCAAACTGCCAGGCATACAAAGTTTCATGAGGCAAAACATAGTGCTGATAAACCCAACCTATTATTTATCTCTTCACCCACTTTTTTTTTTTTTTTTTTTTTTTTAAATTCATACCAATTTTACCTTCTTGTAAAATGACATCTAAGATCAAAGCAAAAAATAATAATAAAAAATAAATAAAGAAAAAGAAAAAAAAAGATTTTCTTCTTTGTTCACAATCTCTGAGCAACTATAATTCTTCTCAAATCAAATGGAATACCCAAAAAAGGAATTGGGCTTGAAGGGATGAGATTGGATTGTCGAGAATTTGGAAATTGGGCATACAAATGAAATTTTGGGAATGAGGCATGAGGCTTGGTCGTGAGATTTGGGAGGGAGAGGGAAGGTGGTTGCATTGGGGGTCTGAAGAGAGGAAAGGACGAACAGTTATGTTGAAGATCTAAGAAGTGACCGAACTAAAAATTCTAACTGGAATAAAAAAATTGAGAAGTGAGGCCTTAGAGGTGAATGGAGGCTCGGCTTGACTTATCAACACTCTAATATTTATCAGCACTCTAAGCCACCCACCTTTTCGTCTAGATAAAGAATATTATTAAAATCTCAAAGAAGGATCCAAGGAGCATTAGCAGGCTGAAGATGAAGCAACTAATTCCAAAGTTGAGGTTGGTTTTCTTTTTGGGGATAAGCATACACAAAAAAGAAACCAAGGAGCACCAGCTCTCGAATCAGTGGCTACAGAATGGATGTACCGAGCATGTGAATGGAGAACAGTAATAGAAATAGAATTTGATTTTTCCATAACAAAAAAAGACCACCACTTTGTCCCCTAGTTGCCTTGGAGACCCCCTCCCATTTTATTACTGTTTCCCCCCTTTTTGAGCTTATGGATACCTACATTTTGTTGAGAATTATTTACAAATTAGTTGATGAGTATAATTAACTGTAAATTCTTCTTCTATATAACTTAACTGAATGACTAATGCCTAAAAATTAGAGAAAAGTTGGGCTAAGCCATATATTTTATAAGGCATATTATATTCTAAACTACTCTAATTAACAAGGAAGGGGTTTCGAACTTGGGTGTAAAAGGGCCGGCATACTATCCTGGCCAACTAGTCTAATCTCATCTATGATGAGAAATATTGTATTTAAATTATCTACCACAATAAACTCATTGTTGCAGAGTGCAAATTAGCTACATTACACTACTTTACAAAACACGGACTAGAGAATAGAGGGCAAATAGACTTCTCTGAAATTTTATTCCAATGTATAATTGGCTAAACAGAAGCATATACAGAGCACACAGATCATAGCAACGAAACCCTTAAGCTTCTGCAAACACCATATCGAGGCTCCTAGCCATCTATATATGGCCTTGAGTTTGTGGAAGAGGTGGGATGCTTTGTTCATGCCTGAAGAAGTTATCAGGATCAATTTTGGTCTTAACTTTCACCAATCTATTAAAATTGTCCTTGAAGTACCTGTAACCCCAAGAATTTGCTTCAATAAAGTTTGTACTGCTCTTTTTATTAGTCCCCAAATCAAGATCCCTATAATTCACATATGCCTGCCTTGGAAACATTGTGACATAAGGAGCCATGTAACTGTAAAGCTTCCTAATCCATTCCATGTGCTCTGCCTCATCTCCAGCCTGCCATACAGTCAAGTACTGAATTTTGAAGAGAACATTTCTATGGGGAAAAGGTATTGCGCTTTCAGAAATCCTGCTCATCATTCCGCCATACGGATTCAAAATCATCACTGGAGAGGTTTCTTGCAGCAGCCTCTTCCATAGCCCCTCGAGCGTAATTTCTGGAATCGGGTCCTTGACGAAGTCTGACTTGGCTTTGAAGTAGATCTTGGGTAGGGTAGCTTTTCCTTGTAGCAAAATCTCAGTAGGAGTTCCACTTGGGTACCCTGCTATATATAGTACCGATTTGATCCAACTTGTTTCAGTACAATCATTTCTTGTCAAACCCAATTCAGGGAAGCTTTTTTGCATAACATTAAGTAATATTTTAGAATCTCCAAGAAATTGAGCTTGGTAAACAGTTGTGATAGTTTTGTTGCCCGTTTTGCTATCATTTGATACTTGTATGAAAACTCTGATAAAGAGATCTTCATCAACAAATGGAGCTACTTGTTGCCATCTATGGAGGAACTTTGTGGCACCTTGTTCCAAGGTCTTCGCAACTGAAAAAACTGTCACATTTTGTGGAACTGGAACTAACTTTATCTTCCACCAAAGGATGATTCCAAAGCTTGCTCCTCCACCTCCTCTTATTGCCCAAAATAAGTCCTCCCCCATTGTTTTCCGATCAAGAATTTGTTGGTATATGGTCCAGCCCATGATCAATGTTCTAGATTATTCTAGTAAGCAAGAGATGAGGCTGGAGCTTGCTAGACAATTCTAGCATGTTATTAAGTTGATGGAAGAAGCTAGAGAGTACTAGCTTCCTTGGTTGCAAATGGAAAGATCTAGAAGCCACACTTTTGTGGCTAGTCTAGATCTTTCTATGCTAGAGGTTTGAAGAATACACTAGAAACTAGTAGAATGCCAAACCCTCACCTATAAATATGGGTGTGATGTTGTAGTGAACCAACAAATCAAGAGAAGAGTGAGTAGCAAAGGATCAAGTCCAAAGTTAGAGTTCCACTCCAAGAGTGAGAGTGAGAGTGTTCCACTACACATTGTGTGAGTGAAGTTTAGAGTGATAGAAAGTGTGTGTTATACTTTCTTGTATCCATCAAGCCTTGTCTTTGGCTTGGTAAGACTACTCTTGTTGTATTCATCTTTTTCATATAGTGAAGATTGATCCTTGTTTGGTGGACGTAGGCATAAATTGCCGAACCACATAAATTCTTGGCGTCCATTTTCTACTTTACCTTGTGCATTCTCTATCTTGTAGTACCGACATTCCTAACAAGTGGTATCAGAGCCCGGTTGGCTCGTACTACGAGATGGAAGGAAGTGGCACTATGATCAAACTCACCAACTCCAATTAGGTAACATGGAAGCCAAGGATGGAGGACATTCTCTATTGCAAGGATTTGCATGAGCCAATTGAAGGAGATGCCGCTAAGCCCGAGAGCATGTCCGATGCCGAGTGGAAGAAGATGAATCGCAAGGCTATTGGCACAATTAGACAATGGGTGGATGATAGTGTTTTTCACCATGTGTCTAATGAAACCAATGCTCGCGAGTTTTTGGACGAAGCTTGAGTCCTTGTTCGAGAAGAAGACCCCAGCCAAGAAAGCCTTCTTGATCAAAGAGCTCATCAATGTGAAGTACAAGGATGGTTTAAGTGTAGCAGAACACTTGAACAATTTCCAGAATATCATCAACCAGTTGGCTACTATGAAAATGACGATCGAGGACGAGCTACAAGCGCTCTTGTTACTTGGATCCTTGCCAGACAGTTGGGAGACCTTTGTGGTGAGTATAAGTAACTCTGCTTCTAATGGTGTTCTTACTCTTGATAATGTTAAAAATAGCATGCTCAATGAAGAAACAAGGAGAAAGACTTCTGGCACAGATAGCAGCCAAGTATTTGTCACAGAGAACCGCGGAAGAAGCAAGAGTAGAGGGCCTAGAGGTCATGGCAGGAGTCCTAGCCGATCCAAGTCAAGGTTCAGGGGTGCATGCCACCATTGTGGCAAAGAAGGCCATATGAAGAAAAAATTGTCGAGTTTGGAAGAGAGAGCAAAGGGAAGGAAACAATCAGAAGAAAGATGATACTGGCAATACCACCGATGTCATATGTGGTGATGTACCAGAAATATTGTCTGTTGGTGAATGTCTGCATATGGGCAACTCTGACAGAGACATTGAATGGATCTTTGATAATGGAGCTTCCTTCCATGCTACGTCCAAACGGGAGTTCTTCAGTACATACAAAGAAGGTGACTTTGGCATAGTGAAGATGGGGAATGAAAGCTATTCCAAAATTCTTGGAATTGGTGATATCTGCTTAAGAACTAATCTCGGCTGCCAATTGATGTTGAAAGATGTGAGACATATTCCTGATATACGTCTCAATCTGATATCCATCGGTACCCTTGATCGACAAGGATATTATCACCATATTGGCGAAGGAAAATTGAAGCTTACTAAAGGCTTAATGGTGGTAGCAAGAGCACGACTTTGTTGTACGTTGTACCGGTCAAATGCCAAGGTTTTGAAAGGTGAGTTGAATGCTGTGGAAGACTCATCTCTAGACTTGTGGCATAAGAGGCTAGGCCACATGAGCGAGAAAGGCCTACAGGTTTTTGGCAAAGAAGTCTCACATTCCCTTTGCCAAAGGTACGTCGTTAAACTCTTGTGAGCACTGTTTATTAGGAAAACAAAGAAGAATTAGTTTTTTCGATTCCATCTACAAGGAAAGGAAATTTGTTAGATCTTGTTTATTCAGATGTGTGTGGTCCCATGGAAGTCGAGTCACTCGGAAGAAATAAATATTTTGTTACATATATTTGATGATGCTTCACGAAAGGTTTGGGTGTATTTGTTGAAATCCAAAGACCAGGTGTTTCAGACATTCCAGGAGTTCCATGCCATGGTGGAGAGGGAAATTGGGAAACCTCTTAAGTGCCTTCGTAGCGACAACGGCGGCGAGTACACATCTCACCAGTTTAGAGAGTATTGTGTGAAACATGGCATACGTCATGAGAAGACAGTTCCTGGAACTCCACAACATAATGGTGTTGCTGAAAGAATGAACCGAACCATCATGGAGAAAGTCAGGTGTATGCTGAGGACTGCAAAGTTATCTAAGCAGTTCTGGGGTGAAGCTGTAAGGACAGCCTGCTATTTGATCAACCGATCTCCATCAGTACCATTAGGTCTTGATGTTCCAGAGAGAGTATGGACTGGTAATGATGTGTCTTACTCTCATCTGAAGGTGTTTGGTTGCAAAGCTTTTGTGCATGTGCCCAAAGAGCAGAGATCGAAGTTAGACTACAAAGCTACACCGTGCATCTTTCTTGGTTATGGCGGTGAAGATTTTGGTTACAGATTATGGGACCCATACCAGAAGAAGTTTATTCGAAGTAGAGACGTGGTCTTTTATGAAGATCAAACAATTGGGGATTCGGATAAAGAAGCACAACCAGATGGTGCAGACAGAGGAGTTGATCCATTAGCTTCAGATGAAGAAAGTCACGATGACATCCCTGAAGCAGCTGCCAATGAAGTGCCTGCAGAACCAGATAATGCTGATCAGGGGGAGCCTGATCAAGATGTGCCAGACCATGAGATTGCTGATCAGGGGGAGCCTAGTCAAGAAGAGCAGATTCAAGGAGAATCCAATCAGGGGGAGCCTCTAGCCCCGCAAGAGAATGAAGATCAGGTCAGAAGATCCAGCAGAAGTCGAAGACCGTCTACCAAGTATTCTTCATCAGAGTATATCATGTTGACTAATTATGGAGAGCCCGAAACTTATGAGGAGGCCAGAGCTCATAACGACAGTGATAAATGGATGAAGGCAATGGAGTCAGAGATGGATTCCTTATTAAAGAATAATACCTATGAGCTGGTGGAGCTTCCAAAGGGCAGAAAAGCATTGAAAAACAAGTGGGTGTTCAAATTGAAAAATGACGACAACATGACAAGGTACAAGGCTCGTTTGGTTGTCAAAGGTTTTGGTCAAAAGAAAGGAGTTGACTTTGATGAGATTTTCTCACCGGTGGTGAAGATGACTTCCATTCGAGTTATCCTTGGTATGGCAGCAAGCATGGATCTTGAGCTCGAGCAGTTAGACGTTAAAACTGCATTTCTCCACGGTAACTTAGAAGAGGAGATATATATGGAGCAACCCAAAGGCTTTGAAGTCAAGGGTAAAGAAACTTTGGTGTGCAAGCTCAAGAAAAGCTTATATGGTCTTAAGCAGGCTCCGAGACAGTGGAATAAAAAGTTCAACTCATTCATGGTGAGTAATGGGTACAAGAGAACTCATGCTGACTCTTGTGTCTATATCAAACAATTTTCTGGAGGTAAATTCATCATTTTGTTGCTTTATGTTGATGACATGTTGATTGTCGGTCAAGATGCTTTTATGATTAAAAAGCTCAAAGAAGAGTTATCTAAGTCCTTTGACATGAAGGACTTAGGGCCAGCCAAGCAGATTTTGGGCATGGAGATAATTCGTGACAGAAAATCCAAGAAGTTGTGGCTGTCACAAGAAAAATATGTTGAACGGGTGCTTGAAAGGTTCAACATGAAAGCAGCCAAATCGGTAAGCTCACCTTTAGCCAATCATATCAAGTTGAGCAAAGAGTCGTGTCCAAAAACATATGAAGAAAAGGAGAAAATGGCAGTTGTTCCCTACTCTTCAGCAGTAGGAAGTATCATGTATGCAATGGTGTGCACACGGCCAGATATTGCTCATGCAGTAGGTGTGGTGAGCAAGTTTCTCTCTAATCCAGGGAAAGACCATTGGGAAGCTGTTAAGTGGATTCTCAGATATTTGAAGGGGACTTCTAAGATGTGCTTGTGCTTTGGCGGTTCCAAACCAATCTTGGAAGGATTTACAGATGCTGACATGGGAGGTGACCTGGATGGCAGAAAATCTACGTCTGGGTACTTGTTCACTTTTGCCGGGGGAGCCGTGTCTTGGCAATCCAAGTTGCAAAAGTGTGTTGCTTTGTCCACAACCGAGGCTGAATACATAGCCGCTACAGAAGCATGCAAGGAGTTGTTGTGGCTGAAGCAGTTTCTCCAGAGTTGGGTTTTGGGTTTGAAGCAAAGTGATTATGGCATTTATTGTGATAGTCAGAGTGCTCTGGACTTGAGCAAGAACACTACATATCATTCACGCACTAAGCACATTGATATTCGTTATCACTGGATTAGAGAGACGCTATCGAGAACAAGTTGCTGCAGCTGAAGAAGATTCATACCGATAATAATTCTTCAGATATGTTGACAAAGGTAGTCACAAAATCAAAGTTGGAATTCTGCATTAAGGCTGCTGGGATGAACTCCAGGTAACTTGGAGTCATGATCGGAATTCCTCCCTCATGGACTGGAGGGGGAGATTGTTGGTATATGGTCCAGCCCATGATCAATGTTCTAGATTATTCTAGTAAGCAAGAGATGAGGCTGGAGCTTGCTAGACAATTCTAGCATGTTATTAAGTTGATGGAAGAAGCTAGAGAGTACTAGCTTCCTTGGTTGCAAATGGAAAGATCTAGAAGCCACACTTTTGTGGCTAGTCTAGATCTTTCTATGCTAGAGGTTTGAAGAATACACTAGAAACTAGTAGAATGCCAAACCCTCACCTATAAATATGGGTGTGATGTTGTAGTGAACCAACAAATCAAGAGAAGAGTGAGTAGCAAAGGATCAAGTCCAAAGCTAGAGTTCCACTCCAAGAGTGAGAGTGAGAGTGTTCCACTACACATTGTGTGAGTGAAGTTTAGAGTGATAGAAAGTGTGTGTTATACTTTCTTGTATCCATCAAGCCTTGTCTTTGGCTTGGTAAGACTACTCTTGTTGTATTCATCTTTTTCATATAGTGAAGATTGATCCTTGTTTGGTGGACGTAGGCATAAATTGCCGAACCACATAAATTCTTGGCGTCCATTTTCTACTTTACCTTGTGCATTCTCTATCTTGTAGTACCGACATTCCTAACAGAATTTTCCCATTAGAGTCTATGATTCGTGCATCAACGACGTTATCAGCACCAAGGCCATATTTTCTCATCATGGAACCATAGGCACCTCCAGTTATGTGCCCACCAACGCCTAGACTCGTGCAGATCCCGGCAGGATAACCATGAGTTTGGCTTTTCTCTGCAATTCGGTAGTAGAGTTCACCAATGGTGGCACCAGCTTGAACCCATGCAGTGTTGGATTTAATATCAACACTGACGGATCGAAGGTTGGCAAGGTCAACAACAGCGAAAGGTGTTTCGATTTGGGAGACATAGGAGAGGCCTTCATAATCATGGCCTCCACTTCGGAACCTGAGATGGATTCGAAGCTTTTTCGCGCAAATAACAGCGGCTTGCACATGAGAATCATGCACCGGTGTGAAAATAAAATCCGGCTTTGGCACTGAAGAGACCAAGTACCGGAGGTTTTGTGCAGATGATTCAAGGACAGCAGTGAAGCTAGAATTTTTTGGAGTGAGAAAGTCTGAAGAGAATGGAATGGAAGTGTTAGAATAATGTGAGAGGCACTGGATGAAATTTTCTTGTGTTGAAGGTGGAGGATGTGCCCATGAAGTTGATAGCACAAGGAAAAGATAAAGAGAAGAAATTGAAAAGATTGGAAGCATTTTGTTTTGCTTGTTTGGAGTTCGATGGTGCTGAGGAAATTAAGTGTCTTGTGCAGCTTAATAGAAGTTTGAAGGTCTCTTAGTGGATCATTTTTTAGTGGATATCGAATCATTTTAGTGATATCAAATCATTTTGGGTTAAAATTCGCCTTTGACTAGAATTAAACATAAAACTTCTCATCTAGACTGTAATATTAAATGAAAATAAAAACTCGTTTAAATATTTTATTCATAATTGACAGCATTCAACACTTTACTGATATGATATAAAAAATTTGTTCAAAACAAGAAGTTGATCCCTTTCCTAAGAGCATCTCCAAAAGAGATGTCAAAACGTACACATCAACTATAATAGTAAAAAAAACCACACTAATATTTTCCAACCAAAGTGCCAAATCCTATGTGGCGATGACATGAATTGGCAGCAAAAAGGTAAAAAGGTTGCTGTCAAATTTGACAGCAGCTTCAAATGTTTTTTTTTTATTAATTATTAAATGTATTTTATTAATTTTTACTTAGGTTAATCATTTATTATAATTAATGTTGAGTTGACTGATACAATTATCCTATTTTTTTTCTTCTTTTCAATCAAGGAAAGTGAACAGATTACTGATTAAACTTTAAATGTCCTTTATTAAATTTTAATTAATTTAATAATTTATTTTATAAAATAATAATTTAATTTGACATATTGGTTGGAGAATAAAACTTTAAAAGATGTCAAAGTGCCACATAAGCTGTCAAAATTTAAATTTTATATTTAAAATTTGACAACTTCTTTGGAGATGGTCTCTAATAATTCATAATTATTGTATACTTTCCCACATGCATGTTTGTTTAGCCCGTTTTCTAACAAATTATGATTTCGAGAATCCATTTATCTAATGACAATTTAGAGTATTTAATTCGAATCTATAAAAAAAATTATAGGTCATCTTGGTCAATGACTCAATGACTCAACACTAATATGGAATGAAAGGAAATAGATCCTCTCCGAATCTCTTCCATCAAGGCCACCGAATCAAGTGATCCAGACCCTTGAAATTTGATCTAACGGTTAAAGTTATTATAACTTTTAAAGATGGCTCTTGTTTTTAGTCGTTGAATCAAATTTCAAAGGTTCAGATCTTGATCATTTTCGGAATCATATACTTTAATATATCTGACACTTTTCATTTTCCACAGAAAAGGATCCTCCTCGCTGGATCCTTTTCTTGGGGATCCGAGGATCATTGTAATTGTGTCCGTTTCGTTAGGTACATATTTATATTTTATTAATTAAATTTAAATTTTAAATGATTTCTAACCACACGATGTACAATGAATGGACATGATTACAATATCCCCCGAATCCCCAGGAAAAGAATCAAGCGAGGATCCTTTTCCATTTTCCACCACAAAATATCCCAATATATGCATGATTAGGCCTGCCTCGTTTTCCAGCCTTATGGGTTTAGTCAAAAGATAAATCTTGGGCAATCAAATTAGGCTAATTCCTCCAGCTTAATTATTTTATTTACTGACGCTCCGGTTCGAAGA